GCTGTACGACGGGACGACGCATTATCGCAAGGGGTTGTCCACACCTATGAGACCGGTCCCGAGTTCAACTTCGCAGCTGCGATGATAATTGACCAGGCCGGCAACAAGTCATGCCGAGAACTGACTGAGGCCTGGGCCTCGGATGATAACTCAGCCAACCGATGTATCAAGCTGGCGCCCGCATACATCGCCCAGCGCAGGCATCTCTAGACTCACGGCACTGGTGGTTAATCGGTCTTCCTCCCGCCCCTATGACGGTTTACTGGACCCTGCCCCCTATAAATGCTGTATGTTTTTCTTTGAAATTTTTATCTCTGACGATGGACTCGCGTAAAAGTTAGAAAGCTCCGACTAATAAAACTATGATTCCAATGATCGACACGGCTTCTTCATCCTCTTCTTGATCTGTAGATGGACACCCCGTGCGTAGAAGCCAGCGAGCATCGGTTGGAAGGTGATACTAGAAAATAAAATGAGACGAGGACCGCCATTTTGGCCTTATTTGTCGTCGCAGTCGGCCGAGACCCAGACAAGATGTGGTGTTTGAAACCTGCGAATAGTTTATCCTTTACTCCAGCGCCTTGCAAGTGAAGACATGAGCTCGTTCTTTTTCGGTCGAAATCGAGAAGATGCAAAGCCAGGCGAGAATGATGTTCAACCAGCTGACTTTATCGCAGAACGGAACATGAAAATGCAGCTTTTCCCTGGAACAATGCAGTCAGTTTCGTGGGCCCTAGATTTCAACTCCGACTCAAACACGTGCCTGTAGTCAAATCTGACGGCTAGGCGCCACCTCTAGTAGCTGCCTTAAAGCACAATGCAATGTAAAATGTCCTGTCTGCACGGTACACTTTTGTCCCACATTTTCCTATTCCAGACACGCCCCAGTTCTAGGCCAGTGAGGCGGGGTCGCTTGGGGCTATTTGGTGAGAAGCCAACAGTCTACCTACACTCTTTTCTGTGTGCACTACCATTTATCAAGCAAAGGGTGGGACCCAAGAACAGGTAAGGGATAGAGAGGAGGGGGGAAAGGAGGGGGGGAGGGAATAACTGTTGTCT